CCGCTCCTGCTCTTCCTTGGTCCTTCAACATCCACACCTTCAGCATGGACATCCGGTAAGGGGCAGCTACACCTAAAGTGGACTCCAATTCACAAGTCCTATTTATTTATTTAAAACGTTTCTATACTGTCCCCTTACAAACATCTCACGACGGTTTACAACAACATTGATAAAGTAGAAGAAAAATACAAGTAAGAGTCAAAATATCACAGCATCCAGTATTCGGTGTAAAACTACAAATTAAAACAATTTAAGAATTTAAATATTGGGAGAATAAAAAGGGTTTCGCCTGGTGCCGAAAGGAGAGAAGTGTTGGTGCCAGGTGAACCTCTCTGGGGAACAAATTCCACAGTCGAGGCGCCACCTCAGGGAAGGCCCACCTCCAGGCAATAACCTTCCTGATCTCTTTCAAGGACGGCTCCTTGAAATAAATAAAAAAGACCTCATTACACCATAATAGGTTTGTTCATTTTAAGGCGCCACAAGGTGATTGTGCTACAAAATCGTGCTTTTTGAAATAGTTAACATATAAGTTAAATTTATTAGGAATAGGAAGTTGATAAAGATGGGTATGTTATCTCTACCAGGTAATGGATGTCCGTCCAGTCAATTACTTGAAAGAGTATGAGGACTACAGATAGTTTTTCATCGGTGCAATAGCTCCATTTTCTTGTGCACACATAGCAGCTCTGCTAAGCAGACCCAACCGTTCACATGGAGCATTGTAATTCCATCACAGAGCAAAAAAGGACAAACTAGCAAATGTTTAATCCTCACAAATAATAGGTAGAGGCCTCCTTGTTTCATAAGCAGACTCTAATCCTTAAAGACAAATAAGCTGTAAATATTTATAAAGTTCCAATTCAAAAATAAAAGTCTGTCTTGTCTGCAAATAGAATGCAAAAAGGACAAGGCAAGCCAATGCATCTGCATCTGCTACTACTAAAGCTTACTGGCACACAGAGAAGGGCAGATAGCGGAACTGCAACTACTATTCGCCACCTGTGAGTTCCACCATCACTGTCTATAAAAAGCTCTTCCCTTGAAGCAGGCAAGAAAAAGATCAAAGGCAAATCTTTATGTCACTCAGAGTAGCGTGTATAAGGATCCACACCAAAAACATCAGACGAATTTCACTGCACTTACTGAATTGCTATCCTTGCTGTTTGAAAATGAAGACACACATGTTACTTTGCGTATTTCTTTATATGTGTGGAAGTCAGGAAACAAAGAGCCGATTCGTTTGGTCAAAGCTGAATGTTCCTCCGTTTCATGACAGCTTAGAACTAAACAATACAACTGTGCTACTGATTGCCAGGCAGCTGCCTTCATGGCCAATTTGCTGGGACAGTCCTGCCAGGCAACCTTCTCCCAGGCTTCCTAGTGCCTGTGAATTACCAGAGCTGGTGTGGCATATCTGCATACTTTGAGTTTGTCCTGAACACTCTGAAGGCAAATGGATCATCATATCCCAGACAGATCTCCCAAAGAGGCCGCAGACCCTAAGGTCATACCCTGGACTCTCCACCACCAGACATGCGTAAAGCTTAAGAAGGGCTTGATAAACTCCGTGTGAGCATTCTACAGTTGCAAAAGAAGGGGATACTCAAGCTGAATGATAGGCTCCATTCAGCTTGGCAAATTATTTAACATTCAACCCACTAATACATTTCTCTAGGCAGAGTACAAAAGGTGAAATTAATAACAAAAATTATGAATAAAATCACAATAAAACAGACAGAAAAATAAAATTAATAACATGTAAGAACATAAAAACTTAAGAAGAGCTGTGCTAGATCAGGCCAAGAGTCTGTCCAGTCCAGGACTCTGTTCACACAGAAGCAAAGCAGCTGCCTGCAGGATCATTAAAGCAGGATCAGTGCAAGATCTCTGCCTGCCCAAGCTTCCCAGCAACTGGTATATACAGGCATGCCACCTCTTGGTAAAGAAAGTGGCACATGGACAGCAATGCTAGTAGTCACTGAAAGCTTTTTCCTCCATGAATTTGTCCAATCTCCTTTTAAAGCCATGCAGATTGGTGGCCATCACAGCATGTAACACAACTAAAATGACCTTTAGATATAACAGCCACAGTAGGCAGGCTAACCTAATAAAAGTGAAAGTACATTGAAAGTTAATTTTGAAAATCTGTGGAGAACACATGCCCGTGCTCATCTAGGCTTATTGTAATAAAATACAGTATTTTGCAGTGCGTTGTGTTTTCAGTTTTTTCTGGTCTTCTGACTGAAGAACTGAAATGTGTGCTTCGTGGCTACCGTTCAGATACTGCATGCGAAGGGAGGTGCAGAAATACATAGTAGTTTACCTAGCACCAAGAATGAGCTTGTGCTGCTGCTGGGTTGCAGGTTCCACTGAGCTACAGCGGAAACTTTTGCTAAAACTGGGAGGAAAGAAAGCAGACAGTGTCCCTGCAGTGTATGCTTCCTGCTGTCCAGACACAGGTGAGCACACGTGCATGACTGTGTATGCTTTGAGTGTGATCTGTGTGTACATACATGCTACCTAGGAAGGAAGGAAGGCAGGCAGGCAGGCAGGCCACTTGGGCCTTGCAAGAGCAGCCTGCAGGCACATGTAATAATCGAGGATGAGCAAAAGATGAAGTTGGCCATTGCTACAGGACCCTTCCCCCTGCCAGAGTGGAAGGTTAGATTTGAAGGAGGCCCTGGAGTGAAAGGAAGATACATGGGTCAATTATATTTGAATCGCAATTCTCATGATCACCAACACAGCCACCGCCATCACCATCACCATCATCCTATATTATTCCTCCTGCTGGTTGCCCAGATTACACAGTGAGGGAGTCTGAGACCTTCAGAGAAGCTGAGAGCACTGCTGCCAGGAGACCACTCTCACTAGGCCGGTCTCCTCGTAGAGTCACCCAAGGTAGAATGGTCAAAATTGAGACACCAGACGACTGCCAGAGAATACTGCCAGGGAAAGTTGAAGGCAAGCAAAGAGGAAGCTCAAATATGATTGATTTATGATTGAAATATGGATTGATTTCATGGAGGAAGACACAGCTTAGAGTTTACAAGAGCTCAGCAGAGCTGTCAAGGACAGGATATTTTGGGGGACATTCATTCCTTGGGTTGCCATAACTCAGAAAAAAACTGAATGGCACATAACAACAACACCAACAACAAAATAAGAAGAATAGTAGCTGCAATAGCAATAATAGATTCAGCTCTAACATTCTTGTTGTGGTCCATGGAAGAACAGAATAGCACGGGACATTTTCTGACAGCTTTTACATCCAGCTAGAAAGTTCAGTAAAAGATCAGGTTTACATTTCTTGAAAAGAAAAATGTTGTGTGAGCTGGAAAAGAAGGCTATATGGTACAGATCTGAGATCATATAGATGGGATGCTCAAGACTGGAATGCTATCTGCACAGAGCTGGTGTAAAAGAGATAACGCAATCTGCCTCCGCTGCTTTATTTCTGCAGTTACAGCAAAATAATTTCAGAGTGCTTCCAGGCAGAAGGAAAAGAAATTCCTCCAGCACTCAACATCTCTAAGCCAGCCATGCTGGAAATGGTAGGACTTTTTTCTGTTGGAAATGCATAGGACTGCCCCCTGCCTTACCAATATTCCACTATCAGGGATGCAAATGGACAAGGGTGAAAATGGTTATGGCAAGAACAGGAATTCTGCTGCACACATTGCATCAATGGCTATCGCAGCTCCACTGAAACAGATGAAACACTGGTCAAATGAAACACTGGCATTATGCATAAGTCATGAGTCTAGATTTGCAGTGAGAATTTGGCACCATATTTAGGAACTTCCTGTCATCTTTGAACATGTTCTAATGACTTTTTGGGCATTTTGATGCCTCAGTTTTATACAGGTTTGCTAGATACTCTGTTCCGAGGAAGCTTAGCAGCCAAAGCTTTGTGAGCAAAGTACACCACAGAATTGTCATTACTTTTCCATGATTCTTTGATTGCATCCCTGGCAATCCCTGAATTCATGTTCAACCAAAAACACATCGATAGTGCCACTGAACCAAACCCCTATGAAATCACTACTTTGGCCAAATTGGGAGGACATTTCCCCACCATCAAAAGATACTTGTAACTTTAGGAGAATTGGAGCCTGTAACATTTCAAAATGAAGAAGTGTTTACCATGGCAAAAGCTGTGGGCTCACCTTTATTTTAAGGGGGTTTTTTTGTTTTGTTTTGTTTAGAACACAGGTTGAAAAGGTAGTGGAAGCAGAAGCTAAGTTGTGGCTACATCCAGACTTCTTTTCCAGAGTTCCCTGGGAATAATGCTAAAGTGGACATGGTACCATTGCTCAAAAGAAAGCATGGTGTACCAGCCAAAGTCATTTTACTGCAGCCATCACCATAACCGTCACCAGAGGTAGCAGCTTCTAACCTGTTAAAAAGGAAGTTATATATAAACTTCCTTAAGAAATTTGGCCTTCAGAAAAAGAATCATCACACATACACACACCCATTCCAACACTGCCACACCAATTCATCACCAACAAATGGGCTGGCAAGCTGGAGCAGCCATGTTGGTTTCCCCTCAATTGATAAAAGTGATGTCATTTCAAAATTTCAGTATTCTCTCCTGCTTCAACAAAAGTGTGTATAATCTTTTAACCTTGAAGGTGTGTTTAATCTTTTCAGCAACTGCTACTTCTTATAAATGTGCTCCAATGCAGAGTAATCAAGGAACAACCATTGGAAATATAAAGTTAAATTGTCATTTGTTTATTTGCTATAACTGTGTACTAGTATTTTATATCTCATGACATAGTATTCTATGTTAGTCCTATGTTGAGTAAACCATTGAAATGAGTGGGACTAACTTATGCTCCATTCATTTCAATGGATCTACTCAACATACGATTCTACCCACAGTGACATTTTCCTAGTAAAAACTAAATGTACAACCACCAAAGAAAGTTACTTTCTACAATGATGTTCAAAATCATGACACAGTTGTCTAAAGATAAAATTAAAAATACCTTTCCAAAATCACGGACGTCGAATAAGTCGAAGGCTTCAAAAAGTTCACTCTTCTTCATCCCAAATATCTCGCAACATGATGAAAGGAATGTCCTTATATTCTTCAAACACAGAAACTAAAGAAGAGGAAAACAATTGTTAAGTGTGCCATCCAATCCTCTCAACATCCAAAGTTATCTTTAAAAAGATACACCTAGGACAAACATTGTTGAACCATTACTACTCCTCAGAAGCAACTTGGACTGAATGAAAGCCATGGCTGGGATACAGAAAATTATTTTAGCATGCACCCACTAAAGCCTCCAATAAAGTCAGTGAAATGCTTGGCTTTTTATTTGAACTGATCGCTTTGCTGTATGACAAAATGCTTTTAAAAGACAGCTTCAAAATAAGTTTTTCATAGAAAGGCTGTTCTTCAAGTCTCAAAAAGTACTTGGGTTCATAAAACTGATTTTCCAGTGCTATCGATCATGTTATGTAGATTGCGGCAGCAAAGCAGGCCATACAGGCTGGAGATGGTGAGAGCTGTGATCCATTATATCTGTAGAGTACCAATGTGTAGAGAATGCCGTGTGGTACCATCTGAATTAAGAACCATTGTAAACCATCCTGAGACACTAGTAATGGGACGGTCAAGAAAACTTTAAATAAACAAATAAAACAAATAAGAACAGAATGGAAATGTGCCTGAAAAGCTGCACTGTAATACAGTTGAGACTTGGACAGTGTGCATGAAATTATCAGTGCGAACTACCTAGTTTTTTCCCCCAAATTTAAAATAAAAATATAAAATGGTCTGAGAAGCTTTGATGTCTAGAACAGAAGGTCTAAATGGCTCATACAGTCAAGATATATTGAAGCATTAGTCTGATGCTCTTTATTAGTGTTTTAAAGTTTTGCCAACCAAAGCAAGCCAGCAAGCACAGAGCTGAGAGATAGCCCAGGCGGGAGAGACAGTGTCCTGTTAACATATGTAATTTTTAAGCGAAAACTAAAGAAAAAACTACAAGTGAGCCATATTCTTCAGATACTTACTTACCAGGTGCTGTCACAGCAGAATTAATTATATAACAGAAAAACAAGCACTTTCTGCACCCACACACTAAAATAGCTAATTAGAATTCTAGTTAAACAGATTCTGAAAATACATTCACAGTACTTACAGATTTAAAAAAAACACCACAAATGCATATTGCATAAGTAGAACGGACTGTAATTACACCCTTGAGGATTATGCAATTATGATTTTACAGTAAGTTATACAGAAGAGAAAACGAGTCTGTAATATTTAATATGGCAAATTAGCATGTCAGGTCTATCCCTGTCTCCCACCAAAAGAAGTGAATCAAGGGTTCCTGATTTACTCTGAAAAAAGCTTTATACTTCTAACAGCTGAAGAAACTGGCAAAGCTCGGCTCAACTGAGCTTTCTGGCTCTTGCACTCTAAAGCCACATGTGTCAGCCATTCTCAGCTTTTCCTCCCCCACTTCCATTTTTTTAGGGGGTGGGCTTTCTGAATCATTGCCATCTTGATACACAGGTGGTGTGTGCATCCATGTGGAAAGGCAGCCGGCGGCAGCAGAATCACTGTTGTTACAGGTTTTCCTACTTCACACACATGTCCACAATCAGGGTGCCAGGCACCAACATCTGAAGTTCACCCACAAACTAGACCACACAATAAAACAGCCTTTGTAGAAACACCCTAGTCTTAAATATTTCAATTTCTCTTCATCACATACATGTACCTTTCTAAAGCACAATATTTTCATCCGAGGAGGTAATGGTTTTCAGATACTCTACTTTAAGCGAGAACACTTTGCACATCAGTCCTTGAGAAACCCTGCAACTTGGGTTCTGGGAATCCTGTAACTTATTCTGGAGGCATGCATGCATTGTGTGGGAATTCAGACTGAATCCAGTCATCTTCAGTAGCAGCCCATGGCAGGAGAAAGCTCCTCCAGATGCAGTCTTGTCTGCCATGAATGAATGTCTACCTTGGGGCCGTATGCCTTACAGCACCCTCCTCACCCAACCTGGATCCCTCCAGATGTGTCTGACTGCCAGTGTCGTCATAATTTTCCTTTAGATGTTTTCGTCAACAGCCTCATTATTCCTGACCATCGTGGTCAATCTGGCTGGGGCTTGTGGGTATTGATATTGCAAACATCTGGATGGCACCACCAGGTTGCGGAAGGCTCCCCCAAGGCATTATACACGGCAAGTGGCAGCCAGTTCTGCAGTTGAGCTACTCACCTGTGGTGAGTCAGTATTGTCACAAAAGCACACAGGAAACATGTCATACACTGAAAGGAGTCTAACTCATTTCTGTTGTTAACCGTCCCCTTCCTTTGAGGCCGCCAACATGGCACAGATCTTGTACCCAGGAGAAAAAGTGAGCATTAAAAAGTAGGCTAACAAAATTAATGGGTATATTTGTACAAGGCTGCCATGTAGCTTGGGGAAGAATTTTTAGACAGGCACCCATTATTTTATGCTTAATCTTATGCGGTAAATCAACCATCTGGTAATGGACACAGAGGGGTTGTGACACTGAGCTTAGCTGTTCTCTGCATCATTTGTGAGATGTTGCTGTAACACAACATTTTATGTCTCTACAGAGTGCCTTCAGGAGCATGGAACCAGCCATTTGTCACCATTTGTCAACCCTGCCTCCACTGGAAAGAGGGACACATCTTTAGTTACAATGCGCAAAAGTAATTCCTTTCAAGTAACAAGCCTCTTGACAATAGGATGAAATCACCCTGTGGCCTGAAAGGGCACTTAGCGTCTTTAGTTTCAGGTTTTAACGGCTCGATAGCCAACCATTTTATCTTTCAAACAGATTAAAAGGTGACTCTCTTAACAGTTAACCTACCCTGATTAACAGACCAGCTGCGCAATTAATACTTCTATTTGAAAAAGTAGATATCCATGTCCATCCTTCTTTTTGCCATCCATTAAGTTTCATAAGAAAAAACACACAGAAAAATCCTGACCCATGAAGAACTTAAAATGCTAAAGTTTAAAGCTTGGAAGAATGAACCACTTCCTGAAAGGGAGAGAAATTAAATGGACAAGTGAACCAAAGTGTATTTGTTCAGAGAAAATGAATTATTTTTTTCAAGTTCTCACATTAAAGATAAAAATACAAGAGCAAATCTTGCTTATCTGAATGACTGAGGTGGCTTTCCTCTGATGGCAAATATTACATACAGTAATACCTCAGTTCACAAACACTTCTGTTCACGAACAATTCAGTTTGCGAACAAAAAGTTCGGCAAAATTTTGCTCCCATTTGCAAACTCTGCATCAGGTGATGAACACGATCACGGCCATCTTCCCCACACAAACACAATCACAGCTATCTTCCCCACACCGCGACCATGTGACCGAGTGTGTTCGAGCAGGGAAAATGGCTGCAATCGTGTTTGTGAGGGCAAGATGATTGCAATCGTGTTCACACGAATATGAACGCAGCCATCTTCCCTGCTCTGACATGTAGCCGCAGCTTCCTCTAGTCAAAATCCCTGTCGCAAATTCTCCCTCCAAACAATAACCTCCTCCCCACCCACCTTCCTGTCCTCCATGCCAGAAGCCACCTCAAGCAAGGTTAGTGTTCTCTCTCTTAATACTGTACTGTACTTTGTTTCATATTTTGTGGTTTAAAAAAATTACATATGTTTCAGAACAGAGTAATCTTATTTACATTGAACCTTATGGGGAAATTTGACTCGGTTTGCGACCAATTCGGTTTGCGACCAGAATCGTGGAAGGAATTAAGTTCGGGAGCTGAGCTCCTATCAAAGTTCAAATGGTTGGCTACAGTACTTTTACAGCTACAGTATAAAATTATTAGAGAAGAGGTCAAATAAGGATTTTTGAACGAACAGTGAACTCTTGCTTGAAGTCATCATACTCCTCATAATCAAGCAGTTAGAATGCCTAAACATGTTCAGATATAGATCCACCCACAGGTACTCCTGTTTTGAAGCAAGATTTATTTTTTACCCTGTTTGCTTTCTGCATCATGAAGATGGTCCCAGTGGTAAAGGGAAGGTCCCACGAGAATTAGATGACATAAATAACATGAGTTAACAGACAGTTAACACAAGAGAAAGTACATGTCCACAATGTAATATGAAATTCTGTAACATTTACTTAAATTGATCTTCTGCCATAGTTCACTAGAAAAAGTTAAACATTTGTTCACAGGTAGGTAAATGCACCCTAACAGCAAGAAAAAATGATTCATCAAATGTTTGTGTCAGTCTCTCACAACTCCATGCTCCAGACATTCCTCAGCCATAATGAAACATGAATTATCATTTAGTGTTTTAGTGACAGGGGGTCCATGATTTAATGAAAAATCTGCATTTTTACACTTACGGCTTTGCGGTCAATTCTACTTGTATTGGAAGGACTGAGACAACTGAAAAGACATACACATAAAGTGCTAAGAGTTCAAATGACCCCACCAAGTGCCATTTCAAATTCTCAGTGATTCTTAACTCAAAACATATTTTGGGCATTTCATATGGAAAAGTAATGTAGTAGGCGGAAAAAATAATAATTTAACCTGGTTTCACAGTCAAATTGCTCACTTTCCTTCACACCACAGCAAACTGCATTGGGGTCCTTAATACCCCACAAATTTACAATACCTTTTTAAAACCCAATTTTAAGAAAAATAAACATGTTTCCATTTCTTGTGACCCAGAAAGTCCTCCTGTTTTGTACAAATCTCATAATGTAGTATTTGGGAGTCATTATGAACTCAAATACTTTGGCCACCTAATGAGAAGGAAGGACTCCCTGGAGAAGAGCCTGATGCTGGGAACAATAAATGGCAAAAGGAGAAGGGGATGGCAAAGAATGAGGTGGCTAGATGGAGTCACTGAAGCAGTCAGCATGAGCTTAAGTGGACTCTAGGGGATGGTGGAGAACAGGAGGGCCTGGAGGAATGTTGTCCATGGGGTCACGATGGGTCGGACACAACTTCACGACTAAAAACAACAACAACAATTGTGACTATATTGTTTTGCTGGCAAAGCGAAGTTCTCACTACAGTGGTACCTTGGCTCATGAACTTAATCTGTTCCAGGACTCTGGTCCT